GATAACTGTATTAAAGCCAAAAGAACACAAAAGCATAGCAAGAAGAAACAACTTAGTAGCAAGACTGCTGTGGCCTCCTGATGTTTGTGAATGACAGATTTATATCCATGCTTAACATGGTCTAGACTTCAAGGCTGGGCAGATAACACTGAGCACCATGAGTGCTTATTACTGGGGGATCTTCTGGAAAAGAAGCTACTGCCTGCTCTTTATTTACATGAATGATCCTGATGGCTTTTTTTTGAAGAATAGAGTTGTTCCTCCCATTGTTGAGATGCAGTCAGCTAGTTCACTGCCATGCATGAATGTGCTGGTTGTTGACTGCTGTCTGTTCCTAAGAGATGGTTGCATTTCATCAGCACCCTGCAAAACATAGTAATTAAAATATCTTTCCTGATATGCTGAATTGAAAAGAATGCTGAATTGCTCCAGTTGCTGTATTATTTTCACTCTGGAATGTTCTCTTCAGGTCTGTTCTTAGTTTATTGAAAATAATAGCATCAGGCAGTTAGTTAAAAAGTTTTCCAATATGGGTTTACTCATGACATCTTGTCTCACTGCTGTTACTGACAGAAATGCAGTATTGAGTCACTACCTATTTCAGCTGTAAATACTAAACTGTATTAAGTAGACTTTAACTAAAATCCTTTCCTACGCATTATGAAATAAATTTCCCCAACATTGGACACTTTTAAGACTCAGCTGGACTGAATGCTGGGCCATCTTGTCTATACTGTGCTTTTGCAAAGAAAGGTTGGACCAGATGATCCTTGAGGTCCCTTCCAATCCAATATCCTATGATTCTCTTAATTTGAAATGACAGTGATAAGTACCATCTTAATTCTCCTTTGCTTTCCTGATTCTAGCTGTGTATATCAGTTGCATACATGTCAATAGTAAAGAAATGTTGTGGACAGAGGGTTTATCCTTTGTCCACAGTGAATGCTGTTGGGAAGCAGCTTCATAGCTACTGCTTACTGGTTTGTACCACCTTTTACCACTGGTGTTCCTTGGTCCTCTGGTTTAATCTCACACCTTCATTGTGCCTGGCCATCAGAGGTGTCCACCTTGCTCTGCAACTGTTTCTGGTTATCTCATGATAAGATAAAGACAATTCAATAAAATGTGAGATACTTTCTAAAAGTAATGTTAAACAAACATAACTAAAAAAACATTAAAAACCAGTTTTTAACAGTGATGTTAAACAAATGCACTTATAAAACATCAAATGTTTTTATTTAAAAAGTAACGTTAAACAAATTCAAATACAAAGCATCAAAACACAGTTAAAAGTGAAGTGCAGGACTATGACCTGAAATGAGATGTTTGTAATATGTTTGAATGAGTTCTCTTTATCTCATAGTGCATTTTTTTTTTTCCTCACTCTTGATTTGCCCTTACTAATGAGATGACCTCTGATGGCTGAGCACAAGGAAGTTATGAGATAGACCAACTAGCATGTGTTACAAATTGTGTGACTCATGCACTTGACCTCCCCTACATATACACAGTTTCCTCACAAAAAACAGAGCACCATGAGCAGAGCTGCCAGCTCCCTGAGATTTTTTCATGGTGCTGAACGAGCACCATCTGCTGATCCACGCACAGTTGTCTCAATGGAGTCAGTGCTGTAGAAGTGTCTAGTGGAGAGTTGTCCCTTTCTGTATCAGTTGGCAAATGAGGTAATTTATTTCATGGTTTGAAGATAAGATTATGCAAAATGTCAGCTTAACTGAAGCTACTTTGAGGGTTGAAGGTCCTTCACTAAATAATCTAGCTGTATGTGGGTGAACTGAGTGATGGTCAATGTAAATAAATGTTTAGCAGATTGAGAAAAAGGGGGTGGGGAGGGGGAGAGAGATATTCATACTATGTTATTTCCCAGCTGTTTTGTTTGATTTGAAAGGAAAAGACACCTTTTTCATTTTGCAGCAAGGGGGGTATTTGTAATGATTTTATTTGCTTTATGCTGGTGTAAGCAGTTAAGAGAAATTTCTGTGCCTGCTTAATGTGAGGATCTAGCCCTTAGTTTGACTTCTAGGGTTTTTTTCTAACATCATGCAAAGTTAGAAATACATTTTTTCCCTCCTTTATAGGGACTTGGAAGTATTATTTTCAAAAGACCCAATTCAGTGTGATTTCACACCAGACTGGATGCTGAATGGGACCTCAAACATGACACTAATCTTCATCATTCACTTTGAAAAAGCAAATTCTTTGTGTGTTTTCCCTTTAAAGTCAGGGGTGAAGGTGTCCTTTTTCCTTGCATGCAGTGCTTGAGCTCTGTGGATTGAAGAAAGAAGGGCATAAGAGGAGGATATTGCTAACAAAATAAAATACAGCTTTGGCCTTTTACAGCAGATTAGCTGGGAAGTCAGTCTCTTTGGTGTGAGTAAAACTTTCCAGTTGCATGGTGATTAAAGTGTACTAAAAGACATACAAGAACTGTTCAGGCTTACCTCAGCAAAGCTACATTTCCTCCATTCTTTTGTTTGCCTTTGGAGTAGTCTAGGTCTTGACACTTTCTGCGAAGAGATATTATATCATTCCCTTCCTTTCCTCCATTCTTTCAGGTCTGTGCTTTGCAAGGAAGGAAACTAATTCATGTAGGTAGGTAGCATGATACTCTCATTCTTTCTTCTCTGCACCTTTGGAAGAAGGTAGTCATTGATTCACTGAGATGCTTCTCATACCAAAATTCATGATAAAGAAAGTGCACTACAATCTATGGGAACAGATGGTATTTCATGGTAGATTTTTTTGAACTGGCATCAGTGATTGATACCATTGCAACTAGACTGGATAAATTCTTTTTGCCATGTTAGTATAAAATAATTTTTCCCCCCAGGTACTACTTAGGAAGGGCATTGTGATTACAGATACTAGTTTGACCTGCAGGACACCCTTTGGGTCCTGATGTTCTCTTGGGACTTTTTTGAATGGGAATGGGTGGCTAGTTGTGTCAGTTTGCTTTGTTGCCTGTCATTTGGGCCACATGGAGATGTTGATCAGGCCTGTACAGCCTCAAATCTTTACTCTCTGAGTGTGACATACAAAATACTTAGTCTCCTTCCAGCTTCTGCAGTGCCAAAAGCAACCTTGCCTTCAAGCACATATATTATGTCCAGTCATCATGGTGAAGACATCAGTGGGAGTAGGCTTGGAAATTTAATTCCTCCCATGTGTCTACAAAGTAAGGTCATAAATTGCAGCAGTAGATGATAGAAATGAAATACCAATAAAAGTTTCCTAACAATAAAGATGGCCAAGTACTGGGATTGCTTGCCTAGGGATGCTGTATAATGTGGGATATGCAATGCTTAAATTCCTTAGAAGAAAGTTAAACCTCTCTCTGAAATGGTCTTAGATGGTACATAATATTCCTTCAGACAAAGGAGTGGATTAGGTGAACTACTAAGCTTTTTTTTGGTTCTACTTTTTATTATTTCTTTAACGTCCTAATAGAACCATGGAAATCTTTTGGCATCTTTCCCATCTGTTGACCTGTAACAAATGAACTCATGGAAAATCAGTGTAGAAAATGTGTCCCTAAACTATTGGGTAATTTGAAAGAATTCCTTCTGCTGAGGACTTGAGGACTTGTTTTTCAATATGCCTGTGAAGACTGTAAAGGGGTTTGATAATGTGGGTGTATCTGTGATATATAGCTTTGCAAGCAAGCTTTACTAATGGAAAATATATACATGTTTGTGTTTAATGCATAGGAAACAATGTTATGAGGACCATCCATGGTGTAGGAGAGATGATGACTCAAATGGTACTGAGCAGAGGATCTATATTTCCCATCAGTGCCCCTGATGTACAGCCAAGCATTCACCCAGGCAAGCAAGCCAGCACCTCAGACAGTGAAGATGTGATTGTAATGGACACCAAATTGAAAATCATTGAGATTTTGCAGGTAATAATGACCAGTGGAATATAGCACAGCAAGCATTTCATAGATCTTTATGTATTCACATAGTGGCAGTTTCTATTACCTACATTCTTACTATTCACTGGGCAGTTAATTGTAAAAAGAACACTTTGATATGAGGAAGAATACTCCCCTGTGTGAAAAACTGTACAGTTGTCCTCACTCTGTTACACCTACTTCACTTTTGAAGGATGTAGATGCTGCAGAAACTCTGTCACTATTACTGAGAAAGGGCAGAACTTGTCCTTTAATCTGCCTCACTAATGTTTTCTGAAGCCTTTGTGTCTATTTCCAGGCTCATTGACACTCATCTTGCACTGGGGTAGCTTACTTGACTTTAGTATTTGACTCATCTGTTCAAGTAGTTTGATGAAGGGTAGAACTGGACCTAGACCTGCTGAAGTGATGCAGGGCCACACACTTTTGAAGTCTGTTTCAGATTTCAGCTGTGAGATTAAGAATAGTCTGTGGGCTGCTGTGATTTTCTCTCAGCTGAACTGTTGGGCTATATGACACTAGCATGCCTCCTGAGATGCATCTTTCACATTGTGCTATTACTAAGTGAAGTGGCACACATTTGTTCTCTATATCACATCCCAGCTTCTGCAGTGCCTAAACCCTGAAGGAATGTTTCAGTGTTTTCTAGAAATCCAGGTGGATCTGTTAGTACCATTGTCACTTCTGAAGGATTAAATTTGTTCTGACTGCTTATAAATTATTTAGATTACCTTAATTACTTGTAAGCTGATTTATCAATTGTTGCTATATCCTTAATGATGCATATTAAGGTTCCAGGGCTCCTTTATTTTAAGGCCTATGGTGAGGGACTGAGTGTTATGAAGTTATATCACCTAAATAACATTATTCATGTGTATTACTTCTAATTTTCATTTGTCTTTTGACTTTCTCTCCATACTGCTTTGCTCTACTTTATGATGCCTGGGAGGATGTTTTCAGGACACCAACCTTGTCCTGTGCATTCCCTGGCTGCTCACAGGCAAGAGAATCATATTTTGTCTCATTCTTCCTTTTTCACAGCACCTCCAGAGCAAGAGCACCTGGGATTGGAGAGCATTTAATCTTAATTTGTTACTTAATCTGTGGTTTGTTAGTTTTTGTTTAGTCACATGGTCAAACTACTGCAAATCAGCAAGTTGTCATATGTTGAATGAATCACAGTAAATGTGCATAAATATGATCTTAGTTCACAAGAAATGCAAAATAATTCAGTTTCGTTTAATATGCAGTGAAGGAGGATTAATTTATGTCACATTGCCTTTCATTACTGTGCTATTACCCTAAAAAGACAAGTAAGAATATTTTAGATTTATTGAATTATCATGCGTAGCTAGTACAATGGTGAATAAAACCATTATAAAAAATACTTCTGTTTATAATAATTTAATTCTCAATATATCCTCTTATTCCCTTAAGTAATGGCATTTTTTACTTCAGAGTTTCCGTTCAGCCAAAATTAAACAGAAGGCCTGATAGGCTTAGCTGACTATGCATGGACTTGGGAAATTTTTACTTTTAAAAATCTTGCTTGAACAATTACAGGGTAACTTGATCATGGAACCAAAATAAACATGCCTTTTTAAAAATTATTATTCTTATTTTTTAAAGATTTTTTTAAAATCTTGTTTTTTTAAGTGGCATTTTATTTGCTCTTAGATGGTATAGCCCTAGACAAATCCTCTTAACAGTATTCTGGGTCTGGGAAGCCTGTTTAACATGAGTTAAAGATCAAAAAAACAGGTTGTCACCATTGGCTAAGTCATCATCTGTCAGCTGAGTCTTGGTAGCTCAACATATGTACTTTCATCCCTGCTGATTGTAAAATATGTTAAATTATCTTAAACCTGTTTCCTTGTATGCTTGCATTTCCTGTGGGCAAGGAGCACAAGTGTGGGAAGCACTGAAACTCAGTTGATGGGCAGTCAGCTGTTGAAATGTGGGATGTGTATGTCCTTAAATAAGTACTAATGTTTCCAGCCTAGTTATTCTCCTTATTATTCCAATATAAATTCAGCACTTCCGCCTATGAATTAGGATTTTTCCTCGATGAGTTTCCGTTCTCACAGCTGAGGAACAAAAGGCACCAACAATTAGAAAAAAGCAGAGTGCTGAGTGAGGGAGAGGAGGGATCTCTGCTACCATTACAGTGGTAGGTTCCAAACCCAAACTTTTTTTTGCTACGTGTTGGCAACACTAGGAGGGGCTCAGGAAGGACATGCTCTTTGCTCCTCACATCCTCAGCTGATAATTAGCAATGTAACAAAAGACACCAGCAGACTTGTGCTTCACTCCGTGGGAGCCTGGAGTTACTGCAGCACCGCTGCCCTTGGCTGACCAGCATCTGAGAGAGTGAGGTTTGAGCCTGTTGTTTTTACTCTCAACCCCATTCTGCTTTTTATCTTCACGAGACACCAGAAGTCCAGCTGGAATCTGAAGTAACTGGTTTCACCATGGGTTTGAATATACTGATCTGGCTTGCAGGCAATGAGGACAAGGCAGCATCCTGGAGCCCCCGAACAAGTCCAGACAGCTTTGTAGTATTCAGCAATTGGTAGAGTTCAGTATGTCTCAGGATGGTTGGAGTGAACAAAGAAAACAATAAAAACTAATGAATGTAATAGATTTATTTTTTTTTGTAGTGGACATACTTATTAACAATAATTTACTTAAAATAAGCAGGTATCCCTGTACATTCCATCACAGAAAAATGTTAACTGTTACTAAATGGCAGAAGAAAAGTCTTATTTAAAACTTTTTTTCTTGTAGTTTATTCTCAGTGTTAGACTGGACTATAGAATATCCTACATGCTGTCTATCTATAAGAGAGAGTTTGGGGAAAACAATGAAAATGTTGATTGCTCTACAGCATCTCCGCCTGACACACCAGGGGTTGCCTCAGGTAAATGTTGCTGTTGTATTACAGTGTAAAATAATTCTGTGTAGACTATACTGCATACAATGAACTCAACTGCAGCAGAAAGATGCATGCTGCTTAATGTAGAAAAGCTTGTGAAAAAATGAGAATTTTAAGAAATCCCATTAAAATAACATTTTTGCTGGTCTGCCCCCTTCTAACAAGTTATACTGATGAACCTGAGCCCCGTGGTGCTAGGAGCTCTACAAACCACCACCAGTGATCCACAGGTGATACAGAATATGTAACTTTCACCTTTTTTGCTAGTTGAGCCAACCCCTACTAAGCAGATACATGAACTTTAGAGTATTTATCACAAACCAAGCTCTTTAGCACACCATGATTTTGCTTTAGAATAGCTTCAATATCCCTTACTACTTAAGGCTTGAGTACTCCTTAGCCTCCCCTCTGTTATACAGCACCTCCACGGAAAGCAATTCCCCCATCCTTGCAGGTGGTCACACAGACATCAGTCAGCCTCTTGAGCCCTTCTGTGTGCCTGGGAATGCTCCCTGGAAAGCTACTTCATTCCTATATCACATTCACCTCTTGCAGACATCAAATTTTACCTAGTGTAATGTGTCATTAGACCTTAATGTGATAACATACGTGATCATTTCAAGGAGGAACTGAATTCCATTTTGCTGTGCAGATAAAATAATGATTTCTGGCTTTTTTCAAATTAATTAATTTATTTATTTTTCCTCTTTTCCTCTCAGCAATCGTTCCTGACATAGATGAAATTGCAGCTCAGGCTGAAACTATGTTTGCTGGCAGGTATATTATCTGAAGTTTTACGTCTCTCTCTATATATATCTGTTTATCTTGATACTTCTCATGGATAATCTCAGTTTATTCTGTGCTTATTTCATACCCCTTCCTTTTCCTTTGGCTGCATCTTGTTACATAACCTATACATAGACAGAAAAGTGCCAGAAAAGACCTGGATTGCAAAATAACAAACAACTTTGCTGGTATGGATGTCCATGGGATTGGAAATGACCACTCTTAATTGTAATAGAGTTGGTAGAAAGTTTTTGTCATGTTCCCAAGGCAGCTGGAGATGGGTGTACAGATGTACTAGGTAAAACACTATTTATTTATTTATGTTATAATGCTGCACTTGGGTGCTTTAAAATAATACCTTCTTCTGGTGTACCTTATGGCTGTAGCCCTAAATTTCTTGAACCAGTAGATTACTGTTGATCCTTAGTATTTCTCATAGACCACATGACCTGTTGTCAGTGCACCTTGTGCTTGAACTTATTTAGAAAATTATATCAACAGTAATCTCGTTCATAAGATTCCTCAAATCAACTGTGGACCACTTGCCATGATCTTCTGGACCACCAGAGGAAGCTATGCTTGCAGAGTTTTGGACGCAATTTCAACTGTGCTGTGAACAACAAGAACAGAAAAAGCACAGAAAATATCCCTATATTGATTTCGTTTTAGGGGTATAGTTAAAATTATACCAGTAAAAATGAATTCCATTTTGAGAAGGCCATAGACTTTGAAGTTTTTCTTGGAGCTAGGGAGAAGGATCTCCAATGTGGGCACTCTGATCTTTCCTCTCTCAGTCCCTTATGCATTCTCAATCTTTATGAGCACAAGCAATGCCTCCAGTCCTCTCCCTGAACTCCCATAAGATAAGACAACACACAGCCCTTGGCATCTGCATCTTTAAAATGAACAGAAACTGAATGGTTTCTTGGAAATGTTATTTCTGCTTTGATATGTTAAGTGTAAATCTGCTTTCTGCCATTCCAGACTATAAATACCATTCCAGAAATATGATGCTTTTGGCAATTTTTACTATTTTTGAGCTCATTTTTTCTTAAATGAAATTGTAATAACAGCTGAAAAGGGAAGGAGTGAAAATAAAAAGGGCCAAATTAATCTCTTGATGCAATGCTGTTTGCTTCAATTAATTTGGATTGGGGATGACTTATCCAAAACATAACTGAATGTTTTTGCCGCATGGATTTTATACACAGTATTTGATACTTTTCATACATTTTGCTTTCATTCTGTAGAGTCCATTCTGCTGCAAGATTGCTGCAACAGCATATAACTGTAGGATTGAAGTGCTTATCAAATATGTTAATGTTATGTTTATATTTTCCATCCTGCAATTTATTTGGTTTGGTTTTAGGAGCTCTGTCAAATGAAGACTGTGTGTGTGTACACGCATATTGATGTCAAAAGCTTTTTTTTCTTTTCTATCTTATTTTATTTTGTCCTTTTTTTCCCCATTTCTCTTGCAGAAAGGAGAAGAATGCAGTTCAGCTTGATGATGAAGGGGGCAGAACTTTTTTACGGGTCCTTATTCACCTCATCATGCATGACTACCCTCCTTTGCTCTCAGGTGCTCTGCACCTGCTATTTAAGCACTTCAGCCAGAGAGCAGAAGTCCTGCAAGCATTTAAACAGGTATGGGTGGGCATAGTGTTGCCCCAGGAAACTGACTGCGGGGGCAGTCTTTCCAAAGGCTGCTTTGCTTGCCTGATTTGCTGTCTCTAGCATCATGGTGTTACTTCTTAGAGGTCCAGATTCAGCAGAGATTTTTCTCTTTTGTTGTTAGAGTTGACCATGTGTGCCAGTGTATGTTATAGTTGTTCACCCAGAAGTAGTTATTTTGACATTGTGTCCATTAGGGAAAACGTAGGTCTGTGGTGACAGCTGGGACACACGCATCTCACAGCAAGATGTGGTCCCTCAGAGGCAGAATTAGTAGCTCTTGTTCTGCAAGCAGTGGTCAGCAAGAAGACTTGCAGTCAGCAAGATCACTTGCCTCTCTTCAGGGCTACTCAGGCTGGGTATGAAGCTCTCTTCTTACTCATGTGGTGTTACTAGTTCTAATTCAGGTGTCTTTGCATTGTGCTCCGCTGCGTGACACAAAGATGCCCAAATAACAGGAAGAGAGTGATTGAACCAGGCCTTGTTTTGAGCTTTTATTCTTTCTGCTTGATAACGGTGCATGTGCAGGCTCCATGTGTCAATGGATTAGGATGGGGAGATCTGATGTCATGGGGCTGGATGATAGAGACATCTCTGTTATGTAACTCTATATAACATATGTTGATAAGACCATGTAATGCTTATTTCAGGAGTTTGGTACCGTGTTGTCTCATCGTTATGTAAGATGTGGAGGTTTCTCTTGTTTAGAAACAGATGAATGATAAGGACCTGGAAAGCTTTTGTTTAATATTTTTGCAGTGTAACATAATTGCCTCCTACCAGATTGTTGAAAGTTAGGTCATGCTGCTTAGTTGCATAAATAGCTGTTATTCCCAGGTAAGCAAGGACTGGCAAGCTTACCATGTTTTTGTAAGGGATGGAGAAGGCTAATTGTCAAATAAACAAAAAAAGACTGAGAACATGGAATATGGATGTCTGTGGGGAAGCAGCATTCATAAATTTTGTAAAATAACAAGATTTTACCAAGAGAAGAGAAAATATGATGAAACCTTTATACTACAAAATAGTTAATATTTGCCTTCATGTAGTGATTGGTTTTTTTTAAAAAGAATGTCCCTATCAGTGTTCTTGTCTGCCATGCAACCTAATCTTTTACATAAGTGTGTTTTCTTAGTAGTGCTTTTTTATTTACTGTAAAGATTGTTTTTAGTTTTTGGGGATATTACCTTCATTAATAATCTTGGTAGAGCAAAGATCATTACAAAGAAAGCAAATGTGTAGATCATGATAAATTAAGAACTACAAATAACAGTGGGGGGAAAAAACCAGAAACAACAGATATTTTGAGCAGTATAAGAAAAGAAAAAGTGAGATTAATCTTTGTAAGAAGCAGCCATTCCAATGTTGGGAATTATATGAACCTGAAAGTCAGCTTGTGAGCTACATTCAAACAGGTTTTTCAAAGCTGGACTAACAGTTAAAATCTGTTATTTTTCAATATATGATTATGGTGATGTAAGTGATCATTAAAGCTGCTGGCCATTCTGACTTTTCTTTGGATATCCTGATTCCTTGTCATATAATATTTTCTTTTTCCCTTTTAAGTCCTGTGCTGATGGCATAAGCTATCTCTAACTGTATTGCTTTAATATAATTTAAATGTATTGTTTTAGTAGCCTGAGGATCACAATCAGTGCATCAGAACTAACTCTGCATAGAACTCAAGAGCTGGTAAATTGGTGCTTATGCCGAAAATGTTTCACAGCATATGAAAGAAGGCAAGAGGATGTTGTGAATGTTATAGCTGTCCTCTTTTTGGGCAGCTATGATCTGTGGCTCTGTTGAAGTCTTTTGATGAATGGAGGCTAAAAAGCCTGCCTGTGCCATGTTTCAATTTCATAGGGAAGGTTACATAAAGCACATTAAAAGGGGGGCTTAGAATGGAAACTGTCCAGCAAATTACCCAGGCGTAAGTGCTGGTGCTACTGCTGTAATAGTTTTACAATTTTCTGTATTTCCAGGTTCAGTTGCTGGTGTCTAATCAAGATGTTGATAACTACAAGCAAATCAAGGCTGATCTTGATCAGCTACGTCTGACTGTAGAAAAATCGGAATTGTGGGTTGAGAAGAACAGCAATTATGAGAGTGGAGAGGTGGGTGACAATCAAACCAAAGGTGGAGAAGAGCAAATAGAGGTGAGTTTAAAGCCTTTGCTATTAGAATAGTTTCAATATTGATAGGTAGTTTAATGAACAACTGCAAATTTGTGATCTGGTTAATCAAAGTAGCAGTGAGAATTGACATTATTCTGGCTGACCTTTAGGAATAGACAGAATAGGAAATAAAAACTCTTCTATCAATGTGTTCACTATTCTTTCCTGCTGCTTTCAGTAGCTGCATTCTTATGTCACAGAGCTGCCTTCCTTTCAGGCTAGTGAGCAAACCACAGTGTATGGCATCACTCTGTGGCCAAGGATCTAGGGATCATGTGCTGGCAGTTGTGTTGGAGTCTACTTTATCTGTTCCTGCAACTAGGGGACAGGAGCACAACTAAACACGCAATTTTAAACATCATATCTAATTCCACTCTTCACCAGACATAAGACTGACCTAAGTATATTGAGATTTTGCAGGTGGACTAATGTTTTGGGCTATTTTTTTTTACCCTTGCCCTACCCCACACTCAGGATAAATTATGATTTGAGAAACTTTAGAACTTGAATCTGGAACTACAAAGACCTCATTTATATATATATATTTTTAATACAATAGATTTTTTTTCAGTAAAAGCTGAGATCCTCACGTAACCTAACTCCAGTATTAGTTGTTGAGACACTGCCAAGCGTTGCAGCAGTTGCTATGGTTGAGGTTTGTGGCATAACAGTGGATAGAGCAGGCTTTTCCAGCAGTATTTATTCCCACTTTTCCATTTTCATCACAGCGATTGAGGAGAGACGAACAGCTGTGATTTCTGACACAGCACTTTCCTTATTCTCTTCCGTTGTAGAGACTTCGCTGGTGGCAAGTAAATGGGGAAGGAAGCCACCAAGGGAAGCTTAGTAGGAAGCCAAGTGGAGGTTATGCAGCTTTGTGAAGCCAGTGTATTGAAGGAAGAGTAGGAGCCATTTAGAAGACAGGATGTTTGCCAACCGCTGGCCTTTCATATGGGAAAGCAGATTTTACGTGTATTCATGTGGGGGAAAACTCAACTCTTCAAGGGAGAATCCTGAAGATTCTCAGTGTAGGTCCTACTCTTTCTCTGTTATAGCTTCGCTGAATTTAGTGGTGTCAGAACTGGGGAGGAATCTGGACATTGAGTTTAAGTTTGTGGGATTTCCTGCTTTCTGTCCTCAAGCATAGTTCTAGTAGGAAAGAAAATGTTAATTTATGTATTTAATGAACAGGAAAGGTGGGGGGAAACAGAATACAGAGTTACAGCAGGATATTTACAAGTTCTTTTTGCTATTATACATTTTAAAGTATTGTAAGTTCCCTTTTATTCCTACGAATAGCCCTGATAGCAAAGAAACCCCAGGAAGAGGGGACAAAACAGTATGTTTGAAGCAGAAGCATCTCTAAATGGGATAAATGGGATATTTTCCTTTTTTTTTTTTTCCCCCCTCCCATGAGTTTCCATCAGTCTGTATGGATTAGCAGTGCTTCAGTAGATGCATAACATTATCTCTGGCAGATCTGAGGGAATATTGTATCAAAACAATAATATGTAACCTGCACAACTGTTTAGATCATCTGGTGGTAATTCCATGAGAGATGTGCCAGGTTACAATAGCTCAGAATCTTATCCAATATTTTTCTCCCCTGTTAAATTTTTCTTTAATAGTCAGGAAGTGTTTTTACCTGGCAAAACTACTTCAGATAGTGAATACTCTCTTAGAGATCTTAAGTCAGATGTAAGAGGTGAGATGCTGGTCATAATCTACAATGTGTGAAGCAGGTGGCTGGCTTCAAGGAAGATAAACAACCCTGTGAGATCCCACATTTTCTTGGAATGGATTATGGGTATTCAGTACTGAGCTGGATGAATCTCTAGGTCTTTAGGGAATATGCTTCATTTGCCTGTGCTTAATTTTTCCCAAACAACATTAAAGTGCTCACAGAATAGTTTTATGTTAAGCCCAAGTTTCTGTCCTCACTGAAGTACATTGCAAGATTGACATTAAAGTTTTAAAAAGTCAAACATATTTTTTTTTGCTTTTGAACTTCTGAGTCTTTTGGGGTAATTGTGTCCACCTTTCTGTCTTAACCTGGCAGTGTTAGAGATGTAACTTTTTTTTTCCACAGCCATTTGGCTCCAGAAATGGAATTTGTAGAAAAATGGCCATGTTGTTCTAAGCAAAGTATCCAGAGTTCTCCACAGGAAAAACAACAAATCTTACATCTATGCAGGAACTGGAGATCAGATTTATAGGAAAGAATGCTCAGAGTTAGGTCTGACATGAATTAGACACTGTATGGGCTTAGGAAGAAGTGCTGAAATGGATCTTACATAACTGAGCCTTGCTTGAGAAGGGAAAAGTGGATAAAGCCTATTCATGTGGTTACTTCTAGGTGAGGGTGTTACGAGTCTGTACAGACATCATCGTGGATTATGTAAAGTACGATCTTTATTGTGCTGCCACTGGAGGATGCACAAGTGGTGTAGCACCAGAAACACAGATCTGTCTAAGGAGGAGAAACAGACAGTCTTATTGCAAGGACTCTCAGGTGAAGCTGGCAGTACAGGGCAGTGACATTTATAGAGCTTCTCATCTTTGATACTTATTGAGAAAATTTAGCCAGGTTTCCTTTTCTGGTCTGTGGCAGTTTGCTTTGGTTCTGGGAATGTTTAAACAAACATCTCCTGAAACATCATATATGGGTTGAGAGTGTGAAGTTAAACTTCAGAGAGGGCCCCTGTTGCCCTGGTAAATAAATGCTGCCTGTGGAGAGCAAAACTGACTTGCATGGCAAGTCCTGACAAGATGTGAGACTACTGAAGTGGCACGGAACTGCTCAGCTTAAGTGCTGGGATCTGGACCTCCTCTGAGGCCTGGAAAGGAAGGGTCCTAAGACTGACACAGAGTGACACCCCAAGAAATTTATGAATAGAGGAAGTGGTCTTTTTCAGAAAATACCATTTCTTCAAGGTGGGGTACTCAGACAAGAACCTTTCTCAGTTCCATATCTATGACCTCCTGTTCCTTATGGAAGAGTGTGACAGAGAATGTCTATTCTGGGGCGTGACATGGCAAGATATGCAACTGAGTGTCTCTGGTATCCCAGTGGTGTGATTATCTCTTGATAACTACATCCCTGGCATACTCTTACAGGTTCAATAAACAGATTTTTATTTTCAGAAGAGAAAGGATAGATTCAGCAGTTTAATGCTATTCAGCACTTCCAGCTAAGACATATAGTTCACATGGATTATAAAACTACTTTGATTGAGGAAGAATGCTGAGAAAAGTAACAGGTAAATTAATCTCGGTTAACCCACAGTCCCAGAACAGAGGAGGGTGGTTAATTATAGCAAAGAGCCTGAAATATCTTCCAAAGTATTGATTCAAGCAGCTGGAGAGGAGGCAGCATGCATACTAACAGACCCAAACAAATAAAATCCAGCATGGTTGTATAGATCAACATGACCACGCTGAACAGCGGTGCTGACGCTGTTATAAACAGATTCCATGGCCAAGTAGTGCAGCTGTTCTTGCCCCACTGGGAATTAAGACCAGATGGGATTTATAGAGCCCCTTATCTTCACCATCAGCTTAAGAAAGTTCAGAGTGAGGTTTCAAGAAGTATAAACATTCAGACTGGCGTGCATGTGTGTGTTTTAGCATAATTCTCTAAAAGAGTAGGAAGTTTGAGAACACAGTGAAACTCAGAAATGCACCTGTTTGGTTCTTTTTGATGCTATTACACTAGTTTACATCTTTATGGTTATACTGTGAGGCACTCTTGAGATCCACTACAGTTTTTCTACATGCTTAATAATTTCAGTATCCAAAGCCCATTGTTCCAGTTCTTTTTGTTTCCTGTTAAGAGAGGCTCACCATAGCTGACAGCAGGAAAAAACCCAAAACTGCTAGTTATCTAAGTGGCAGTATTTGTGTAGATGTCCTTCTGTGTTTTGATTGAGATATGCATGGCAAGGTGTGTGGGTGGTGGCAGTTATTTGCTGAATTGCTTTCTGTTATTTATCATACCAGGCTGGGACTTTCTAAGAGCCAAGGCCCAGAGCATATGCTGTCATGACTGGATGTTGCAGTTTAACATAAGGTTCTAATTTATTTTTAAATCCTTTCCTGCAACATCCAGAGATAAGGACAGAAGTGCCCTCTTCATGGGAGGAACATTTCTAATTTCCATGTGCTGCTTGTTCCTGTACTGCTCAGAACTCCAACCTACTTATCTCAACTACAGAGATTGTCTTAAGATGTTTCTCCAGACTTTTTAATGTTCACATACATGGACTTTGTAATCTTTCCAGCTGTATTAGAGATTTTTGGAACAAGTGGTGGCTATCAAAATACACTTACTGTCCCTATTTTCATAGTATCTAAATTCCTTGGAACATCTAGCATGTGATTTAGGGACATATTCTTTTTTAGGAGGATCAAAAGTATAAGGATGTAATTACCTCAAATTGTCTTGGAAAATTGAAACAAAGGAAGGACTTGAATGTGAATCTTTTTCACTCACTGGACCAGTGGATAAAGAATAAATTAGTCTTTTTATTATCTGTGTTATATCTGTTTCTTATGGGCTGCTGTAATCTTCTTCACTTACTGCTATTAAATATAATTAGTTCATGTTGAGGAAATGGCAATAGATCTTCACTTGTGTGTTCTTTGTTACAGGAGTCAAATATTTTGAGTCCAATACAAGATGGGACCAAAAAACCCCAGATAGACAGCAATAAAAGCAATAACTACAATATTGTTAAAGAGGTTGGTATTTCTGCAAGAAATTTGCTTGCCATACTTGTTTGAGAAGTAGATTTAGTAATTGTTTTGAAAAAAAAATGTATTTTGTTGGGCTTTTTGTGACGTGACTGGTTTTTTTGCTTGCTTGCATGCTTATTTATTTGTTTCTTTATTTCTAGATTTTGATTCGACTCAGCAAACTTTGTGTTCAGAATAAAAAATGTCGGAATCAACAGCAGCGATTGCTGAAAAATATGGGCGCCCACTTGGTGGTCTTGGATCTTCTGCAGATACCCTATGAAAAGGTTATTCTTACAATTTTAGTAGTAAAGAATATGAACTCAATAAAGGGAAAAGTCTCAAGAGGCCCAAGAATCAATGTGAATGGGTTTTTAACTTAATTCAGTCACGTGTGGCACAAACATGAAACGATGATGCCATTTTCTAACTTAAGAATAATGTGTTTAGGCCTAAGTTTAAATATGTCTGCCTGCATGGAACAGGATTTATTAAGAACTTCATGTGTATGGCCTCAGGTACTCAGATATCTCTGCAGTATCATCCCAGTCCTGAAACAGGTAAACCTTAGATCATCTGCAGTCACTGCACAGTAAGAAGTATTGATTTAACAGAGCTCCTGGCAGGGTATCTAAATTCCACAGTTGGATATTGCAGTGAGTGCTACCCTAGATACCTAAGAAGGACATAAAACTTTCAAGGATCAAGTCTGAAATAATTTCTTTTTTTCTGTAGATGCCTAGTCTAACCTAGTTCCACTTGCAAGCTTTTCAGAAGATAATGTGATTTTGTACCCATTTAGTCGCACTAAGCATAGAAATATTTGATGTAGAAAGCTTTAAAAAGTTCATTTTTTTCTGTAGATGCCTAGTCTAACCTAGTTCCACTTGCAAGCTTTTCAGAAGATAATGTGATTTTGTACTGATTTAGTGGCACTGAACATAGAAATAGGTGATCTAGATAGCTTTTTAAAGAGCACATTTTTCTAGATCTTTTAGAAAGCACTGAGAGGAGATAAAACCTTTTCTGGGCTACACACCAATGTTATGATACAGACACTGGGTTCACCTGTCTTCAGCAAAATAGTGCTTGTCCATTTAGGTGGTTCATCAAATCATAGTTAGAATACTATGTGAGAGGAATATAAAATAGAGATGAAAGTAGACATATATTGGTGTGGGAGTATGTGTATGAACATATATATTTGTGTAGGTGTACACACACATGCACACATATATCTGTTTCTATATAAAAGCTAGAGCTTTTCAAAAGTTTAAAATCTGTGAAGGCCAGAAAGGCCAGAAAGCTTATTTTGAAAAGCAAGTCACTCAGCACTTTTTTAAACTAGGAGATTATAACCATGAATGTGAAAATCTGAATTTGTGCTCTTACCTGTGACTCCCTATGGTCAAGTCAATTCAGAGTAAAGTACAGCCATGAATGGACTCTGAAGGCAACTGGATCAGTTGCTTTTGTCAGAGGGAGAATTTCTGCCCTATAGGCTCAAGAGAGAGTTGATTTGTCCCTTGCTTAATTCATGTTGACTAGTTTTAACAAGTATGTTTAGGTACGCCCAGCTGATTGTGTTTGTCTTATCTTTCTGCAGAGCGATGAGAAGATGAATGAAGTTATGAATCTAGCCCACACTTTTCTTCAGAATTTCTGTCGAGGAAATCCTCAGAATCAAGTTCTCCTCCACAAGAATCTTAACTTGTTCTTAACTCCAGGGGTAAGTATTTCATTTTAAGAATATTATAACTGGAAGGAGATTTGACTTGCTGAAAAATGACAGTGCTAAAGAAATAGTTTCATTAAATTATGCACTCTGCCTTCTCTTATCTCCTTGTTTTTGTCCCTTATTGTTGTCTCTTTTCTCTCCTGTTTATTTCTCCCTTGTCAGCTCTGTATGCTGTTGTTTTTAATGTTGATATTTTAGAAGTGGAAAACAATATTACCTGTTTGGTTTACTGGAAGCATCTGTGAATACGCGTCACATCATGGCATCATGTTTAGCTTGACTCTAATCTTACCCTAACTCACAGATGGACTATAAGTCAAGATAGAAGACACTGTGACTCTGCTGTCGTGAAGCTTGTGTGACAGCAGAATCAGACCCATACATTTTTGTCGATGATGCTTCCATTTGATTCAACTAATGTAAAAATGGATCTTTTATTCAATCATTGTCTTTACAGTAAACCTTTTTGTCACGGTCCCTTTGTATATATGATTGCAGATATAGTCATATAGAATGATACCTTGCTCAGTGGCAGATCTACTGAGCAAAACATGTTTTATTAGAGACAGTGTGAATATTAAGACTGTAGACCCCTGGCCTGTGAACATTAGGGAGCATTTGTTCTGTTAGTTTTTATTTACACTTTTTTTGTGAAGATAGTGGAAGGTGCTGAGCTGACCACAGTGGGGACTAGAAACCAGATTCCACCCTATCCAACACTGACAACTCAGGTGCCAAGTATAGAGCCTGCTTGCATTTGTAATTCTGTTCTTTTGAAGATGATTCTGTGATTCTGATCATCCCAGTTATTGCACTTTTGTTCACATTGTGGTGCAGACTTGGTGTGGATTCCTTTCAGATGACACTAAACAGAATGGTATACTCTAGAAGCACACCTGAGTCATGAGCCTTTAGACCAAGGGACCAAACTATAGCAAGTCTGAAGCAAAAGCCCTAGGAATGCATAAAGTCTGGATGCTGGGTCCTCAGCAGCATCCCTTTCTTGCTACAGATCTGCTCCTCTTGTTCTGAGCTCCCTAAGGATAGAGACAGAGCCTGAGGCTCCTTCTGTAGTTAATGTGGAAAGAGATGCTCCCTCAGAGAGTGATGTGCCTGCAAGTGCAATGATTTGCCCACTGGAAATGCTTGCCTCTGTCAGCCATAGATGGAACCAGAGGTAGATAATCATCTGATCTGGTTGCCTGAATGTCAGTGCTTGACGATGAGGGGGATGAATGTGGTCTCTGTTGTCTTGTATACTGAAGTCCGTGTAGAGTGCTTTAGTAGTGTAGTGTATGTAGGGCATACCTTCCACCTGGGCACAAGTTACTTTTATGTCCACTTTAGGACCATTTTGTACTCATGAGAAAATGTAGAGAAATCCCTCAATTAATGAAAGCCAGGCCCTATGATCTGGGCTGGTTCACATCAGTCTTTTCCCATTTCCCTTTCCTGACGTGCCTTTCTCTAGTCCAGAGTCCTGCGAATCTTTCAATCTCAAAACAAATCTGCTTTTCTTATAAGGCCTTTTTGATTTTAATCTCTTTAGCTCCTGGAAGCTGAAACCATGCGGCATATCTTCATGAATAATTACCTTCTGTGCAATGAGATCAGTGAAAGAGTGGTGCAGCACTTCGTACACTGCATCGAGACCCACGGCCGGCACGTAGAGTACCTGCGGTTCCTGCAGACCATTGTGAAAGCAGATGGCAAATACGTGAAGAAATGCCAGGACATGGTAATGACAGAGGTAAGTGAAGGGTTTGTATGTTCATCACTTGTGTGATTTTGAACTTCTTAACACATTCTTTTGAGGTTGCTTTTTCTGCTTTTGATACCGATGGGAGATAGTGGCATCATCGCTTAAACAGTATCACAAATAATGAATATTTTAGCAGACATATTTGGGGGTTTAATCTAATTTTGTAAGGCCATCTGTAGAACTACTAGAAAGAAGACATGAGTGTTAGCATGGTGATACAGCGATGTCTATTTGTAGATGATGTAGTATGGAAATCTTGGAGTTACATAAACCTTCATTTTCCCATACTGTAATTTTGGATCTCATCTACACATCAAACATGGCATATTGTGGCATGGTTTTGTCATATATGAAGCTCTTATATCTATGGATTTGTCTAAATAGTGTTCTAGGCATTTTTTTTAGCAGGTAACCATGTAACTATATTCCAGTATCTGAAGGGAGCCAACAGGAAAGCAGTGGAGGGACTTTTTACAAGGACTTGTAGTGAGAGAACAAGGGGTAAAGGATTAAAACTGAAAGAAGGGAGATTTAGGTTAGATGTTAGGAAGAAATTCTTTAGTGTGAGGATGGTGAGACACTGGCACAGGTTGCCCAGGGGAGTTGTTGATGCCCCCTCCCTGGAAGTGTTCAAGGCCAGGTTGGGTGGGGCTCTGAGCAACCTGGGCTGGTGGGAGGTGTCCCTGTCCATGCAGGGGGGTTGGAACTAGATGATCTTTAAGGTCCCTTCCAACCCAAACCATTCTGTGATTCTAACAATTCTAGGTACTAGGTTCTGCCTTTGTTTCTTTTGTTCCAGAGCACTTCTGTGAATCAGTAGAGCTACTCTAGCTTAAACTAGCTAGGCTTGGAGCCTAAGCTGGTAAATTCCACAGAGTGGTTTGTGGACAAATCTGTATTCCAATCAAATTACTAGGAAAATGCCTAATTGACTTCTCTGCAATTAGCATTTGATATATAGTGTGCATGATAAATGAAGTCTTCAACTTGCTGACACTCGTGCATTTAGCTGTAATTATGTTAACAGTTCGATGACATTAACCAGTGGCTAAAGTTGAATACAGTGAAAAGTCTAGGTAAGATCAAAGTGCAAAGAACATTTTTCTTTTCTTTACAAAGTGCATTATTTTGTATTTTTGAAGAGACATCTTCACAAAGAAAACAGATAAGCTTTAGTGCAGTATCAGCAAAACTAAACCCTGCTGAAATTTTGTTCCACGGCAACAAAGAGGAAAAACTTCTAATTAAGAAAATAAAGCTTCAGCCTACATGGATAACCTTTAATGGAATCTACCTCAACCTTTTCAACTTGACTGACAGGTGTTTTAACATGCAATATCAATTACAAGCCTTTGATTTACATCATTCAAGCTGTTCTTGCATCTGTGTGTTTTTAGAATTTTTTCCCTTCCACCAGAGCTTCTTGTAGGTTTTTATATTCTCATCAAACAAAATTCTTAGATTCTGATCAATTTAAATACTTTGTTACTGACCTATAATAGCACAAAGATAAACTGTCATATTACATTTCAAGCTGACTGCATGATGAAGATCATAATGAACTGAGATGTGACATTTACATGATGAGTCCTGCAGGAATTTTCTGGGGGGAGGGGACACTCTTATATTGATGAGAGAGGAAAAGATGATGATCTGTTTTTAAAAAAGTAGGAAATTACAGGTAAGTAATTATGATTTGTTAGAAAAGGATGCTAATAGTGAAATTTGAAGGGCACTTGAATAACAATCCAATACAAAGGGAACAGTGTAGCCAAATGGTTGAACATTTCCTGGAGTCAGGACAGTTTCTCAGGAGATAACTGAGATATACTTTGTGACCTTCAACAAATGGTGTAACTTTTTATGTGCCTTCAGATGGGATATGTAAACAATTTACCACAAGACAAGATAAATAATGAGTGCACAGCATGCCTCAACTACTCCTATGTTTTCTTTTGCCCACGGAAAGTATATTGTAGCTTATTCCTCTTTATTGGGAGTAAGGGATAAACTGATCATATTTACATGTCTTAGAAAGTGCATACAGATGAAGGAGCACCATTGTGAAAGTGCACTTTCATAAAATAGGTTGAACATTCCCAATCTGACTTATTCACTTGTTCTCATATCCTTAGTTCCCATGTCTGTAAAGTGCTAGTAATGACGTTTACGGACCTGAAGGGTTCCCTAGGGCACTTTTTCTCATTACAAGCATGCTTTGACATTCCCAGAAGAACAGTGCCAATCAGTGAAAACATTACTTGGAAAGGAAAAGCAGAATTTTCTATTATCTATAGTATTCTGGAGTGATAGATGACAGAGCATCAACAGCTGCTCTGATACTGACCAATCTTCATTGAACTTCCACTGAGTTCTTAACTCATTGAAAATATACTTCAGTGGAAGAAAATGCTGCTGGATTGGTTTTGTTTGGTTGGTTTTGTTTTGTTTTTCCATCACTAAGCTCAAGATGTTCAGTGAGAACTTTGCCTAACATTGGGTATTTCTCTTCCTTTCTGCTTTAAAAGGAAATGAATTTTCTCTGCTTGGATCAATGTTTGGATGCCTTCTTCAAACCATATTTAAAAGTGCATAAACCAGGGAAAGGAGATGACATCTTCTGTTCTCACATTTTTTATTATTACCTTGTCCCCCTAAGCTCTTCTTGTGCTGATGCAACATTGTGTGCTTTGGTTTGTGGTTCCTCAGTCAGTATGTAGGAAGCAAGCTAAGCAGCATCATGTTTCACAAGTTCAGTATCTCCTGGTATTTCTTCCTCATTCATCAGTGATAGGTACATGAAAGGATGAGGGATAAGTTTGACATGATATGATCAAATATCAAGCACTACTGATACAGATTAGGTCTGAATTTGACATAGGAGTGTTAACTCTAGGGGAACTTGGAAGGAGTTTTCTTCCTTCTCCTTTATGCAAAATGTACACAAGTGGAAAATAACTAAAGGAATGTGATGAACAACTTAACAGAAAGTGACAGAGCATGTACCTTCAGAGAGGGCTTGGGGTGGATTTTTAAATTATTTTGTATGTGAAATGTCCTAAAGCATAGTATTCCAGACATCAGTATTTAAAAGTTAGGTAAATTTTCTAATATTTTGAATACTCACATTTTCCTTGGGTTTTTTTTTGCCACTGAGTGCAATGAAATTAACGATGTCAGTGTCACTGAACTGTCTCATTCCTCCCTCCCAAGGATTTTTCCCTTTAAAAACTTTTTTCTTGTCCTGTGAATTGTCCAGAAAATGTCTGTTTTGAAAAGTTGTGAGTAGAAACATTTTAAAAACCCAAAGATAAATGAGAAATTGCAGGAAAGACTAAATTCCCAATTCACTCAATCAAGTTCTCCAAGTAAAAATAAGCGAGAAACAGGGAAAACACAATAAGAAAACGTACAAATTCAGAATTTGAGATGTTGAAACCTGGAAAATGTATTTAAATGTTGCTGGATTTTTTCATACTTTTCAGTTCCTCTGCAAGGATAACTTTCATTCCAGCTCTTGCTGCTTTCCCGTTTCTCAACAGCTCCACCAACCTTTCTTTCTACCCTTGAATTCAGTAAGCTAGGATTTCATGTCACGTATAGACTTGGATTTCCTGCTCTTGCTGCTTTCCCGTTTCTCAACAGCTCCACCAACCTTTCTTTCTACCCTTGAATTCAGTAAGCTAGGATTTCATGTCACGTATAGACTTGGATATGTCAAGTGCCTTATTCACAAAATACATATGGCTGTTGTGCTGCCAAGGTGTGTTCTGTACAAGGAAGCGTTTATAGGAGCTCATTTTCACCCACATTGAGAGTGCATTATGTTTAAAAAGAAAGTGATGGAGAGAAGACAGGACTGTCATCCTGGTCCAGCTCCACTCAAGCTCACAGAGCTTTCAGTAGGTATATTCAGTGTATGGGGGGGCTTCAAAGCAGGGTTAGAGCAAAACATTTCTGTCAGATCTGCTGAGATGGAGCTACCAGCATCCACCTCCACTCTGGATCCTCTTGAGATGGTCGATGCACTTGCAGCAAAATCAAATAATTATCACATATGCCAGTTTTCTGTTAAATGGAAATGCTGGCATGGTACTGACAATGTCTAGACATACCTGCCAAATTCCTATCAGTTGGGTAGAATTGTCCTTTGTTTCTGATGTTGAGCAAGGGCACAGAAGGAGTTTGCAAAATTCTGGGTGAGCCGCTCACTTTTCGTGTGAGATAACACAGAAGATTGAATCTCTCTCCACCTTATGTCCCTATCCATAAAACAGGGATAATAATGCATCCTGGCCTCACAATAGGAGGTGAAGGTAATTAATGAACTTGAAACAAACATGGAGATGGTAGGAGTAATAAGGATGGCACACTGCCTTAGGTAAACACAGAGCTACACAGAAATTAAACTTCAAATTCACCTTCTGTGAACTCTCTGGTGAGTTATTCCAGATTTGCACTTATGTAGAGAAGAGCAGAAGTTTGCCTTGGATTTTGTTTTGACATGTGCATTTGATAAGCCACATCAGAGGCTCTTGTGTTGTGGGTATTGTTATTGTTGTTGTTGTTATTATTATTATTTTCACTTGATGGTGTTTGCCCACTGAAAGGTAGAACAGAAGAAGAAATTAGGAAAATCATCGAGTCATTAAGTCCAAAATCACTGCGGTGTGGGGCGCTTAAAACTTTGCAATATCTTTTTCAGCTGATAAATGGTGGTGAAGATGTGCTGATATTCTACAATGACAGGGCATCATTTCCAGTCCTACTCCAGATGATGTGTTCAGAGAGAGATCGAGCAGACGAGAGCGGGTCCTTGGCGTACCACGTCACTCTGGTGGAACTGCTGGCTGCTTGTACAGAGGGGAAGAACGTATACACAGAGATCAAGTGCAATTCACTCCTGCCACTGGATGATATCGTGAGAGTAGTGACCCATGATGACTGCATACCTGAGGTAAGATGCACTGAATAAGGAAGCAGACTTCTCATTTTCAGGAACTCAGAAAACGTTTTGATGTTTATAATAAACTGACAAGTTGGTTGTTTGCTCAGAAAACAAGCTGGGAGCAGATGGTGTTTCTTAGAGTGGGTAATTGAGAAAGGACAGCCATTATTTTCTTATGGTCAGTTTTTTGGGGCAGACACCTTGTTTTGTTTTCCTGGGTTTGTCTAGCCACTCTCAGAGTTTAATGCTCAAATAACTTCTGGCTGTAGCTGTGAAGCCTAAGCTGATTGGTTCGTCAAGCCAAAATTTGCCACTACCTTGAATTTGTTGGAAGCAATTGGTAACGTTCTGGCCATGCTGAAGTTGGTGGGAGTTTTGGGTGAAGTTTTGTTTTATTACATTAAATTGCAGTCCAGCAAATGTTTTTTATTCACTTCATATTGAGTCGCAATTTTGCAGCTGCTATTGGTCATGCTTCAGTAGGACTGTGATACCTTATACTGATCAGAAGGGGAATGTTTGTTTGCACCAAACCTGATGTGAGCAAAAGAAGGCTTTTCACAGGCTTTGCAAGGAGCTTACTCTGGCCCCATGTCTCAGTCAGATGGATTTCTACAGGCTATCCGGTTGAAAAATTCAGCTCGTATCAACAAAACTGGGACCTGCATGAATAAAAACTCCTTCTTTCTGTGCCATGAAAAAGTCCCCTTGTGATCAACTGATTCATTTCTTAAAAAGAGAAATGTTTGATTTGCTAAAAAGTTCCTCCTGACATTAATTTCAAGAGATGGTATTTAAGAAAAGCCCAAATGAAACCTGAAACTCTGACATGAGTTTTCTCCTGATTGTATTAAATATACTCAACTATCTCCTTTCCTTGGACCTTGACAACACATTTCAGTGTATTTGTGTATGTTTATACCTAATCTATACATTTCAGGAACTGGATATCCATTTTTATGGTGTGCACATGCAGTCTTGTCATGCAGGAGAAGAGTTGAGACTACAGTCCTCCTGTTAAGCCCTTTGCTGCTGTGGCTGCAGTCTCAGCCCTGCACAAATTTTCTCCTCCATTTAGATTTTATTTACACCCACCTCAAATGCAAGCACTGCATTAGGATTGTGGGAATATAGGGATTTCAGTCCCAGCTCTGCTAAAAACATTTTATTTTATTTTATTTTTTTGTATTTGACAAGCCTGTCACAAAGCATCAACTCACAGCAATTAACCAGCAAGCACAGGTTGTCCTGCATTTTGACAGCTTCTGGCTTTGGAGCCAGACCCTTGTAGTCTTAGTATCATTTAAATATCAGATTTATTATTGGCTTGTTATTTGGGAGCTTTATTTGTTAGAGTAAGAATGTTTGCATTTTTCTTCATGTGATCTTTCAAGTAAGTACATGAATTCATTTGTTGCCATGCTTCTCCTTAAATCTTCAGAACTGAACATATGCTTTATTATTCTTCTTAGTGTTTGTTAGTACTTGAAGGATTATCTTTATTGTTCATTATTTTTGCATATACAGAACAGCATGCTAATGATAAAAAAACAACTGTTCCATTTCATATTGTTTGTGGTCTTTCTGTTCCTGCAGGTGAAAATTGCCTATGTTAATTTTGTTAACCACTGTTACGTGGACACTGAAGTGGAAATGAAAGAAATCTATGCCAGTAACCATATTTGGAAGTTATTTGAGAACTTCCTTGTTGATATGGCAAGGGTAAGCTTTGTGAGTTATAAAATATGACAGTATAGTCCTATACTCTGGTTGCCCAGAGAGGTGGGCAAGTTATGGAAACATTCAAGGTCAGGTTGGACAGGGCTCTGAGCAACCTGGTCTAGTGGAAGGTGTCTCTGCCCATGGCAGGGGATTTGGACAAGATGATCTTTAAGGGCCACTTCCAACCTGAACCATTCTATGGTTCTTCCTTTCTGCTTTTAAAGAGCAAAAAATGATGGCCAGATCTGTAATCTTACTGCTTTACTTTGTTAGTACAGTGAGGATTAGGGATCAATAAGTTCTTTGGCTCATGTTCCTTCTTTTAATCTCACTTTGGCCTGGTTTTATCTTCTACTGTCAGTGCGTTGTCGTCACTGATGTGAAAGGCAGGTGTAGGGCTGGGGCCTTTCAGAGTCCTAATTCACATATAAAGTGTGAGGTGATGAGGCACAGTTGGTACCACAGGCATTTGCTTCCCGTGGACACTAGTGAGTGTCATGGTATCATTACTTGTTGAATTAAGTTTCCATTCCCTGGCGTTTTGGAGGTAGACAATGAGGGAAAACTTACGACTTCTGGAATGGTAAAATGCAGTAGTAGAGCCACAAGGGGAAGCTAGTGTGACATCATGATTACAGCCTACATTACATATCCTTTTCTAGGGGGTAGTCCTTCTTGTGAAAGTCTAATACTGAAACCAACTAACGGAGTTGCTCCTTCTTCTCAAGAAGTAGAACCACAGGTTTTTGGTGGCTGGAGGACTATGTTTGACCCTTGATGCTGCAGAGTATTTTTGAGATGTTAGCATGTTGTCATAGTATCTGCCTGTCTTTTACCAGTCCATGGTCTGTTATATTTCATAATCCTGAAGTTCTTGCTCCTTGCATTCTTCATATGGTTGAAATTAAAGAAAAGAAGGTGAATCTCAATTCAGTCCTACAGTGGAATTTTGCCCCAAAGTAATAATGTGCCACAAAATAAAACCTATTGGGAGAAAATACAATTAATTGAGGCCAAAAGAATGAGTGCAAAGACTTGTGCTATAGGATAGGCAGTGGGACCTGTTCATTTCCCTAAGATACAGCGAACTGGTGGTTGGGATTCTTTTTTCTTTTTTTTTCCTTTTTTAAAATATTTTCTTTCCCTGGGAACAGGTTAAGACAGGGAAGCTTGTGCTATCTTTTTTTGGTGGTAACTATTTTCAGCACTAATGAAACCTCTACAAACCCTGTTTTCCTGATGTTTGTCTTGTCTCTCTGGTCATGTTCTACAGTGAAAGCCCTTCTGGACAAACCAAGCCTATTTGAAAGTCAAGATCAGAAACCTACACGGAGGGGAATTTTGATTTTTTTAACTCACCCTTTTTACCCCAAGAAGCATTTTCTCCTGTTTAATTCCCTTTCTGGATTGCCCTTTCCTGGTATGTCCAGGCCCTGACCCTCCAAACAGACTACCCTCCCCAGCCCTTGAATATGACCAGTTCTCTTTGCCCTTGGGCTAGAAGCTGACATGTAGAAAGAAGTCTCTGTCCACAGTTCCCTTCATAAGCCTGGAGACAAACTGTGCTGTGCCAAATGATGTAGAGTTGTCCTGATGCTAATGACCACTAAGCTTGTTTTCATATACTCTTCTCATAAGAGAAATTAGACTCCAGGTCTTCTGAGGTGAAGAGTGAGTGTGTTATTAATGAGGAGTTTTGTATGAGTAGGTGCTGCTGGCACCGACTACCAAAATGCAGGTTTATTTTGCTCTCCTGCAAAGCCCTCAGGGCAGGTGCCTAATTAGTCCTGTTAATTTCCTGTTTAATGGCTAAAAGAACTAAAAAAGCATGTCAGGAGTGCTCTGGCCTGTCCTGCTCTTCTGCCAGCTCCCTGTGGGTAGCTATACCTTCCAGGTTATTGAGTGTATTTGTTCAGGTTTGGTTTTCTGGGGCCCAGGCAGAGCCATGTGTTATAAATACATCAGTGCTATGTAGCTATCAGGGAAGTTAGAACGCTGTCAGCCTCATGAAAGATGTTACAATAGCTTTCAAAGCATTTAGAAAAAGAGTCCTTTGATCCTCTGTGTTCCAGTGAGCTGAAAGGGATGCTTTTGTGTGGGGGAAGGGGAAATGCTTTTCTTTTAGCTACTACAAATGCCTGTCAGTGGGTGAGTTTGTGAGCTTTGAGTTTGAGTCTGTGATTAGAGAGGGCTAAGGTGAAAGATGGAGAGTGTTATCCTTAGGTTGGATTCTTTCCCTTTCTATTAAAAAAAAAAAAAAGGAGTAACTATTTAAAAAAAATCTGTTTCTGGATCCAGGAAGGAAATATTTAGTCCCCAACTGTCATTCTCTTTCAACAATGTGATACAGTGCCAAGCAGGCATGAGGCAGATCTGTGTATAAATTCAGTTTGCCAAAAGCAGTCACACTTTCTGCAGAAACCCTCTTTCTGCAGACACCCTCTTTCTACAGTTTCTGCCAACCTACTTTCTCCCATGTATGAATTAAAGCATTGCACTAAGCAAAGTGGTGCTGCTAAAGGAAAGGCTTTCCTATCCTGTGTGTGGCCCAGCCTGTAAGTCAGCAGCTGTAGTCTGAGCAGGATTAAAAAAAAGAACCAGGATCTGACAGCTGTAAAGTCATCCTGGCTTTGTCTGCAGACATTTTGAAGTAGTATTCATGTGAGTTTTGGTCCCAAAGCCTCTTCAGAGGTTTTTAAACACTGCTTTCTCAATCCTTATCTCCTTTTCATGCATTTCAGGTTTTTTCTTCCAAGGGGAAACATTTTTCAGTTCCCAAAGGGCAGAGGGATAAGAAAAAATGAGAGGATTTCCGAATTCCTTCTGCACTGGGAATTTTTCAGACTAGTGTTGGCATCCCCACATATGGCTCTGCTTTTTAGTCCAGCAAAGGGGGAAGCTTAAAAGCATTTTAGAATTTAGTTTCGGTGATTTCTGAATTCACCATGCTAGCACTGCACAGCTCCCTGTCTTCCCACTGGGATTGCAAGTGCTGAGCCTCAGAGCTACTGGTTCCAGCCAAAATGGGATGAAGATTAATTAGAAGCAGAAGAACCTCATGAGGTTTTTAGTTAAAAAAGTTGTGGCTATTAACTAAATCTGTTTCCTCCATGAAGACTGGGGGTGGTGTCCTGCTTTTTCCCAAAACTAAAAGGCTGAAGAGTTTGCTGTTTCATTTTAGCCACTTTTGCTTTTCTGACCAAAACAATTCCTTTCCTGGGATGGTGAAAGATGCACTACATGAGGGCATTACTTGTTTACCTGACACATTTTAGAAAAGCAGACAAGCAAAACTCCTGTAGATGGCCTCGTTTCTGTGGTGTCAAGTTACCTTTGTTTATTCCTCTACCTACCATATGACAATGCTTGTGTGTTAGACTCAAAATGCTTTTGTGTTCCTGTGAGCCCTGTCTTCCCCTGAACTTGAATGCCTTCAGATGTCATGTCAGTAGCCTTCCTTAAAACACTCCTGGTGAAATTGCTGTCTTGTAGTGTCCAAGTGTGACAGTGGCAGTATGTAATTAGAGAGCATGTTTGCCCTGTGTGAGATTCAGGTGCTGTGGATTATCTTTCTCCTTCTGTCACCAACTTTTCTCTGTCAGCTTAAGCAATGCACTCAGCTTCTCTGGACTTCAGTTCCTCATCCATAAAGCCATGTCATGGTGAGTATGTACCACTCAGGTTCATGACTGTGTGTTAAATGCTCAGATAATAATGAGAAGGCTAGCCCAGAAGTCTATATAAAAAATAAATTCTGCTTTTGAATACATTCCCTAGAACATTACAGTAGTCTTTGCCTTGCAGAGGTGAAGGAGAGAAGAGCTTTGCCTTTCATTTCTTGTTTAACATGGCTAGAACTGCTAATTTAAAGGCTGTTGAAGAGGTAGTATGACTATAGTTTGTACTCCTTATTTGTCCAGTCTTGCCTTTCTCACCGTGTTTGGCTCTTTGACTCCTTTTAGTACTGTTTACACTGACATATACAAAGTCAACAAAGCTCTTTTCCACATCAGAAATGCTGAAAAGAAACAAAGAAATAAAAGGAATACTGAAGGATGCAATCCACCCCAGTAATTTGTTCCTTTCTTTAAGTGTGACATCTTTATGCAGCAACAAACTTTTAGTGCTGTACCAAAGGGTGTCTTCAGAAATCTTTTGTACAAATCTTCCCACATCCTCCCACCATTTAATCATCCTTCTGTGCTCCAGAGCCATCCCAGTACCACCCATTCTCTTCTTTCATTGTTTTTAGCTTTTCTTTTATATTTTCTCCATGTGGCTTTCCTAAGTAATGCTGCCTGTCTTACAGTTTACAGTCCTGTTGGTATTGACTGTGCTATTTCCTTTCTTTCCCTCTTTTTAAAACATTTTTCCTGCAAATGAGCTTCACCTTTACCACCCATTTGTGGTGACTGGAGAGAGAAGTTAAATGTTACAGGAAATCTTTCTAACATAAGGTGTTTTTGTCTCATCTGTCTCTAAAGCCTCTTCCACCTGGCCCCACAATAGGAGGAAAGGCCAATTTTCTTCTTCAATCTGTCTAAATGTGTAAATGGCATGCAACATGCTGATTTAGGGGGATTTTTTTTCATGGTTTGGGACAGGCTAGTCAGCCAACCAAAAAGAGCTAGTTCAAAGAGAAGGGTATTCAAAAAACAGTGTGAACCTCCAAGAAAAAAGATAAGCTATCACAAATACAGCTTGAACTCTAATACAGTTATCTCAGATTTTATATAAAAATAATATGGTTTTCTATTAAGAAGAAATATTACAAGCCTTGTCATAAATACAAAATAGCAAAGCTTGCTTATTTAACAAAATTAAATCTCATTGTCTCCTCCTTCTTTCCTGTAGGTTTGTAACACAACCACAGATCGTAAACATGCAGACACATCTCTGGAGAAATATGTCACTGAGCCTGTCATGAACATTGTGAGTGGCTTCTTCAATTCACCATTTTCAGATAACAGCACCAGCCTCCAGGTAAGGAAGAGAGACATTGACAAATACGTAATTCAGACTGTTAATGAGATACCTTATAGGAGTGCTGTATCTTTACATCCTCTCTTAATTTCTCTGTCCCGTCATGCCGAGGGCTAGCAGCTTAATTCTTCTTTAAAACACTTCTTCTTAATTTTTGCCACTCACAGCTCTGAACCAGTAGAAAGCTCAGTATGATCAGATTTACTCCCGGCTCTTGGGAGTTCACTGGAAGGGGTATCTTTTTATTTGTCTGTGAAAAATGCTGTGTCCTGTGACCAAAGAGACATATACCTGAGAAATGGGTAGTTCTTCTGCTGTCTACCGGGCTTGATATCAGTGGCAATTTGAGAAAAAATGGCATGTTTTGGCTTTTTTTAGGGATGCATTGATTTCTGTTCCTTCCAGTCAGGAAGTGAATTTAATGGAGTTGTAACTTGAGTCTACAAGCTTGCGTGTGGTTTACATTCTATCAAATCCTAGAGCAGTTGTGAGGAAATTCTAATGGGTAAAGCTCCATATTTATCTTTTTGTTTTCAGACACACCAGCCTGTTTTCATTCAGCTACTGCAGTCTGCTTTTAGAATTTACAACTGTACCTGGCCAAACCCAACTCAAAAAGCCTCTGTGGAGTCATGTATCAAGACTTTGGCTGAAGTGGGTAAGTGCCAGGTTTTACTTTCATTATTGTTTTCTCTGTTTTAAGAGCAGACAGGTTGAGCACTTTTTAGTTTGACTCTACCATCCTAAAATTGTTACAGTGTTGATTTCAGAAATCCCACTTTCTGAGGCTAAATTTCTCCTTCTTTTAAAACCCATTCAAATCTGTGCCATCAAATGGAGTTGTTAGGTAAAACCTGTCAGATTTTAGCTAAGTGAGTGATGGTTGAGCTTTACCTCAAGCAAGCTATGATATTAAAACACAACATAAGCTATGAGAAAACCTGGGCATTTCTAGTTATGTTGGGCTACATTTGCATAAGCTGTTGTAAACAGCCATGCATTGCAGTTGTGCATCAGAGAACACCTGTCATTTTTCTCCATTTCCTGGGAGACACATTCAGCCTTGCCAGGGGAATATTGCCTTGCATTGGCACTGAGACCAAATTTGGTCCTCAGAGCAGCTAGTAAGTTAAATGCTTTCATATATATTCAAATACCATGTAAAGTGGAAGATATAAAACTTCTTGTCCTAAAATAAACATATTTTTAACCAGTACATAGCTAAGATTGGCAAAAGTTTGTTCTAAAGTTAAATTTCTATGAATACAATTTTAAAGACATTTGCCATGACAGAAAAAAGGATCATTCAAGGTAGTTTCTAAAAGTCAGTCATTCTGATTACTTGTAGAATGAAGTTCTGCTCAGTGTAAATGAAAACTGACTAGAGGAAGGGGTATATAGAAACTGGCTAAATTCTATTGTCGATGCAATTTGTAAAAAGTTTTAATAAACTATAAAGTAATATGAAAGAGTCCCTTAACCATCTGCAGCATCTGTGTCATTGTAACAGTCCTAAATTTAGAATCTGCAATAGCTTTACAGAAGTATCCTTTAACATTTTAGCCAAAACATCTCATTAACTTTTTGTGTGAATGAGGATAAGCAGTTACCTAAAAACTCAGCAACCTTCAATTGTTTTATTTGTTGTGCAAATGATTTAATTATGGAACCATCTGGCAAGAGAACCCTGGAAATTGAAGACATTTCTTTTATGCTACAGCTATCACAGTCTCAAATAAAACTCTAGCCCCACAAATCCCTGTTTGTGTGTTTAGCACTTATGTCCTTGCTCTTCTCTGGTGGTTCTGGAAAGAGTCTTCAGTAAATTACTTCCTTTGGGACTCTGGGGAAAGGAGGAAGTAGGGCAGGTGAGAGTATTTTTAAAGCCAAGTATGCCTTGTGTGTGCTTCTAGAGAGCTCGGTGTCTTCATTTTTGTAGCACTACATCTAAAATCAAATTCTAGCTCAGAAAGGTTGCTGTGTTACCTCACTGAGGTGAGGGTATTTGGAGACACTTGAGTGTGGTGCTGAGACAGCCAAACTGAACTTGTCCCCACAGCAAGGGGGAGCGTGGGTTGCGTCCTGCCACACTTGACTATTTGGTGTTTTATTGTGACAGAAATATTTTGACAGAAATCTGACAGGGAGTATAAAGGAGCAGGTGAGGGGTATTTCCCCAAAAAGCAAGCTAGGCAGAGAAGAAATGGAGTGTTTAACAAACACCCCTGTGCAAAAGTTTCCATGGCTAGCAGATATTTTAACCACTGGTGATAATCACTCTTTTTAGGCCTGGTGCCAATCGTGGCTTGCTGAGGCTAATTGAGTAGGCCTGCTCTGCTGAAAGCTTTTGTAAAACTGCCCCTGCTGGGGGTACTAGAGGCTTTTAAAATTGAGGCCCTTGCCTTTCTCTGTCAGGTGTTACCCCACACAAAATGGTTCAGCGCTTGGAGAAGGCAGAGGTTTCTTCCAGAATACAAACAGGGCAGCCTTGTTTTTGTTTTGTTTTAATTTTCTGGCTGTGTATATGGAGTAGGTTTGGATTTTGGCTAAGCATCTGTGAGCACTTTTCTGCTTTTTTTTTTTTTTTTTTTTTTGCTTGAGAGTCTGACAGCTTTCATGTTAGGGCCTTCATGTTTCACAGCAGGGTTTCCTCTAGAAAGATTTTGCCTATATCAGAGACAGTGAGTATTGGACAGATTTACAGCAGCGACCAAAGACTTTTGATGGAAAATAAATGTAGCATTGAGTTGAAAGAACAAACATGATTTTTTTTCTTTTTTTCCCCTGTGTCTTTGCCCTGGATTTAGAAAAACAGCAGGAAGAAAGATCATACATAGATTTCCCAAGATATCAAAGATCCATATAATAATGTACCCTTAAAAGACCCATTTCAGAGCAAGTTTATGCAATCTACATTCTGCTCAGTGCTTACTAGTTTGTTGCTGGCAGGAGGATTTAAGTATTGCCTCAAGAACTTAAGATCATTACATCTCTCCTTGTACCAGCACTGTAAGAATGTGTATTATCTTTCAGGTCAACAAAAGGCTATATTGCTGGAGCTAATTTCTTATAAACCTGATACTTCAACTCAGCTTGACCACTAGGGAAAAACTTCATAAGCTTTTCTAGCTTCGCTTGCTGCTTTGTCTCCAGGCTGTTGTCTGCCTCCAGTTCAGGAAGAAGCATAGTGTTGCTTGTCTTCTTCAGCAGACCCCTTTGTGGCTCCAGGAGTTGTGGAACACAGGAATACCAATGTGCATTAGCTTTTTATTGCCCAGTAAACATTTGACTACCTGGCATGAATAGAAACACAAAATAATATATGAACAAGACACATTAATATACATAAGGATTTCTGAAGCAGATCATCACAATAACGAGAATAAACACTGTATACATATATCACTTTTTCTCTGTGATTACAGAGGGCCAAGCTTTTGCTTGAAAATGTAGTCCAAAAAATGAATGATCAAAACAACTTCTATCTCAGTGGTGTAACAGCTACAAATAGAAAATGTTTAAAAGGTCCCATGATTTTATGAAAACAGAGGAACTAAGATGTCTCACAGTTCAGTTTATTTAAAATGAATTCTTTAACAAAGAACTTTCAGTTCTTACATTTTGTAATCTTTGCAAGATTGAGAATGAATCACAGAATAGAATCACAGAACTATTCAGGTTGGAAAAGACCCTTGGGATCACCGAGTCCAACCATATCATCTCTACAAAGTTCTCCCCTAAACCATATCCACCAATACCACATCCAAACCACCCGTAAACACATCCAGGGATGGTGACTCCATCACCTCCCTGGGCAGCCTATTCCAGTGTCTGACCACTCTTTTTGTGAAAATTTTTTTCCTAATGTCCAGTCTAAACCTCCCCTGTTGCAGCTTGAAGCCCTTCCCTCTTGTTCTGTCACTAATTACCTGTGAGAAGAGACCAGCACCAACCTCTCTACAATGACCTTTCAGGTAGTTGCAGAGACTGATGAGATCTCCCCTCAGCCTCCTCTTCCTCAACCTAAACATTCCCAGCTCCTTCAAGCATTCTTCATAAGATTTATTCTCTAGGCTCTTCACCAGCTTCATTGCCCTCATCTGTACTCAATCCAGCACCTCAATATCTCTCTTGAACTGAGGTGCCCAACACTGGACACAACACTCCAGGTGTGGCCTCACCAGTGCTGAGCACAGGGGGACAATCACCTCTCTACTGCTGCTGGCTGCACTATTTCCAGTCTCAAAGTTTGCATTTTAAACCATCTACTGTCTTTCATATGGTAAAATTGGGAATATCTGTCTGTCTGTGACTGTCCTCCCAGCTAAAGGTCTGGATAGTGTATCAGAAATTGTTTTGGAGCAGGGTATTTCTCCCAGAGCTGACCAGTATTTCAGGATCCATGCAAAAAACTGTCTTTGCTTCTCACTTAAGTGACAAGTCTTTTATCTTCATCCCCAATCATCAGTTTTCTTTTCTGATACAAGGTTGAATGGAGTTGTACTATGCTTTTTTGTCTGTAGTATCCATTAGCTTTCTCCCTTACTTTTTTACAATTTGCATCTTTCCTCTGATATTATGTGTGTATCCTAAGGACATTTTATGTGCATGGGTGTGCATAACCACCAATATTGAAATAGTTGGAATTTCCCAGGTGAGTAAGCAGTGGCTGATAGGAACCATTTATCTTGGCAGACCCTTTAAAAAAACAACCTATTAGCAAACCAAATTACATTACTCATTATCAGATTATACTCGAGGATGTTGTACAGCAGAAGCAAAAGGAGAATCCTTGTTTCCATCCTATAAAGTCTGAGGCAAGTCCTGTAAGATTGCTATTTCATAAGGTCAAAAGTGGAATAGGTACAGAGGGAAGTACTGCTGTGATGGTCAGGGAAAGCATAACTGCATTACAAGAGACTACAGGAGCCCCATGTGTTTTCTCTAGCAAAACCAAGACCTGTGTTGTTGCTCTTTAAAAGTACTTATGAAGATAGTCATAAAGAAGAGACATTTTAGCTAAAGGACAGTGCTGACCCAAAAACAACTGGACATAAATTATGCATGTTTTAAATAACCTAAATGAATTCAGATTCAGTAAATCAGAGGTTTGGAACCAACCTTGGAAGGATGTCCTTGGTCAATGGGCCAAGAGAAAATGGATGAAGGGGGGGTGGCAGAAAAGCTAGCTGCATTTTAAATAGGGCTCGATACATTTTTCAAAAGATATTAAAGAACATGTGTTGTCTGTAACAGAGAGCACGATGGTCTGAAGGAGTGCCAAAGTCCTTTCTAGATGAGTATTTATTCCCCAGTTTCAGGTCACCAATACCCCTTTGTACAGAATCACAGAATGCGGTGCTTCTTGACCGTGCTATTATGTGCTCCAAAGCCCTTTCTTTTACCTGACAAATGATAAACAGGAAATATTAAACATAAAATTTAGCTTGTATTTGATCACTTCAGTGGGATTACTGTGTCTATTTTAATGTCCACATAGATGAACTTCCTTATAACAATTTTTTCAGCCCTGAAAAGAATGTATTTCCCTTCCCATTTGAGTTTAAAAATCTTTTTTTCCATTTTATAAAAAGCTAGGCCTTCATTTTCAATTTTTAGTTCAAATAAAATAATTATCCTGTTGCTACTTTTTTGACA